ATAAAGATTAATAGATATATAGAGATAGATAGAGAGATAAGGATTAATAGATATTATATATAGAGAGAGAGAGGAAAGAAAGAAACGGGCAGACCAGAGAGATACCAGAGATATACACACACACAAAGAGTGAGAGAGACAGAGAGAGAGATGAGAGTGAGAGAGAGAGAGACGAGAGAGAGAGAGAGAGAGAGAGAGGAGAGAGAGAGAGAGAGAGGAGAGAGAGAGGAGAGAGAGAGAGGGGGGGGGGAGGAGAGGAGAGGGAGAGGGAGAGGAGAGGGAGAGGCGAGAGGGAGAGGGAAGAGGGAGAGGGGAAGAGAGAGAGAGGAGAGAGAAGGAGAGAGAGAGAGAGAGAGAGAGAGAGAGAGAGAGAGAGAGAAGAGAGAGAGAAGAGAGAGAGAAGAGAGAGAGAGAGAGAGAGAGAAGAGAGAAAGAAAGAAACACAGAGAGATAGAAAGGTAGAGGAATACATACATACATACATGCCTGAATATATACATACGTCCATGGATTCATAATCATGTAAGTCAACGACATTTTCATAATTATCCCTATTTGTTATGACCTGCCACGAGTAGAAGAAAGTGTGCAATAGAAATGTTTATATTTAAAGCTCATTTTCTTACGAGTTCCATACCTTTTGAAAGGACTTTTCATTATAAATCTTAGTAAATACAATATGAGTATTACGCTCCATCCGAATCAATAATCTTCACACACACACACACACACGCACCGCACACCACACACACACACACTACACACACGCACGCACACGCCACACACACACACACAAACACACGCACGCACACACACACACACGCACACACACACACACACACACACACACACACACACACACACACACGCCCGCATTGACAGCGGTACTTTCCATCTGCATTCCTCTCAACGCCAGTCAGCATCCAGCTTTGGTCAGCGCCGCACCTCACTCGTGTCGCTTCTCTTGCAAGATGGAAATATCGGTGAGTGTTTTTGTTTACTCCAAGACAAGGAATACACTTTAGTACATATTTGTATACATCTCTGTTCTCCCATGTTTTACTGGAATATAATCATCTCTGTTCTCCCATGTTTTACTGGAATATATCATCTTGTTCTCCCATGTTTTACTGGGTTTTAATATAATCATCTCTGTTCTCCCATGTTTTACTGGAATGCCATTATATACACAAGTGTTTCTCCTTTCTCATAGTCCTGTCTGCATGTGTCTCTATTCATACATCTTACTGCAGATTTTGCTTATCAAACTGTATTTACTTTTGAAAACACAAGGAAAATTAGAAACAACTTGACCATACGACATGTTATTTAAAACTAACAGTGTAAAAACAGCCAATGTTGAGGGGAGTGTGTTAACATGCCAAAGAGGTTTTTGTTGAGGGGTCTTATATGTCTAGCCTTTCCTTTCACTTTCCTTAAGAACTCGGACGATAGTGAGAGAAATAATGGTTGTGCAGATGCGAAAGAATGTCATTGTTTCTAAGTGTTCCCTCCTCTATGTGCTGATTTAATGTGTGTAATATACTGTCTTTCTCTCTTTTCTCACTCTTTCTCTTTCTCTCTCTCACTCTATTTCTCTATCTTTTCTCTCTTTCTCCCCCCCTCTCTCTCTTTCCTCCTCCTCCTCTCTCTCTCCTCTCTCTCTCCCTCTCTCTCTCTCTCTCTCTCTCTCTCTCTCTCTCTCTCTCTCTCTCTCTCTCTCTCTCTCTCTCCTCTCCCTCTCCCTCCCTCTCTCTCTCTCTTTCTCTCCATCTATTTATCTACCAATCCTCATATTCTCTTACCTTTGTAAGGGGAATAACGCCGTTGTATTTATGTACATCCAATTACACATCCCACAGACTGTGCATATGTACAACTATTCACCCAAGCCAACAAGTTCAAAGACCAAATTTGTTTACATGTGTACATTGCAAGGTACA